ACATTCAGGCTTTGAGCTGTCCACCTCCATTGTGGGGGGTGTGGGGGTGGAGGGTGTGTGGATGGGTTGTAAATGGTGGGTGGTGGTGGTGGTGGAGGGGTGTCGTAGTTTTGTGCTGGTAGGGCCCACATGCACGGCTTTGAGTGGTGCAAGTCGGTCGTGGTGGGTGGGGGAGTGTAAGGATGGTTGGTGAATGGGGATGGGAGTGGGGTTTGATTTGAATGCGTGGCCGAGTGGGAGTGGTGCATATGTGTGTGCAGACTGTGGTGCATGTCTGACTGTACAGTACAGTCTGACCTGCACTGCACTGCACTCTCCGTCACTCTCCTTCTCTCTCCCTCACTCTGCCTCTCTCTTCCTCACGCTGACTGCAGGTGGCAGTGGTGCACGTGTGTGAGCAGACAGTGCGGCACCGGCTACATGAGTTTGAGGGCACAGAGGCAGGCGGACTCACTGTAAGCCCCTTCCCTGCACTATCCCTGGCTCTTTCATTGTCAGTGAAACTTATCTTGTTACATGTTTTCTCAGGCTCTGTGCTTTTAGAGTGCTCGCCGTTCTGCAAATGTTTGGAGACTGTTGTGATTTTGAGTGCACCCAGCCCTACCTCCGAGTCTCTTCGATTTCACTCCTCCCTTCTGTCACCTCCCTCCCACCAAGCTGCGACTTGTCATTTGCTGCCTCCCCTCCCCTCAATTCACCCCCCTCGTTTTTTTTTTACCCAGCCAAAGTAGTTTGAGAAGGCCAAGGAGTGGGACGAGCTTCTCTTCTCCACCCATCCGCCCACCCCTGCCATATGCACGCACCATACCATTTGCTACCTTGTATCAGCCCACTCCTCCTAAGTTCCAACCCTCCTCCCTCCCACCCACCCCACTCCCTTTTCTCAGCCTGAGGAATTCGAAGAGAAGGCCAAGGAGTGGGACGAGCTTCTCTTTTCCACCCAGCCGCCCACCCTGTGCCATGCCACTGCTTTCCCTCCTTTCCCCATCCTTCCCCCACCAGCCTGAAGAGTTTGAGAAGAAGGCCAAGGAGTGGGACGAGCTGCTCTTCTCCACGCAGCCATGCGCCGTGCCAATGTCTGCCTACCCCCTCCAACCTCCCTCTAACCCCTTTCCCTAGCCGGGGGAGTTTGAAGAGAAGGCCAAGGAGTGGGACGAGCTGCTGTTTTTCACCCAGCCACATGCACCGTGCCAATTTCTACCTCCTATACCCCCCTCCCGTCCGTACCACCTGCCTCCCTTTCCCCAGCCTGAGGAATTCGAGGAGAAGGCCAAGGAGTGGGACGAGCTACTCTTCTCCACCCAGCCGCCCACCCCTGCTCTCGTTGCTCCTGCCTCTGCCCTCGCCCCTGCCGCTGCTGCCCTTGCTGCAAAGAGAAAGCAGGGGAAGGGGGCAGCAGCAGGGGGAGGGGCGAGGGGAGGCGCAGGGGGGTATGGGGAACCGGGTGGTGGGGAAGATGGAGAGGGGGGAGCGGGGGAGGTGGAGCAGGGGGAAGGGGAGGGGGGTGTGGTGGCGGCTGGGGGTGGGGGCGTGGATGGGGGGGAAGTGGGGGAGGTGTATTTGACGCAGTGCCAGCATAAGGACGCTGGGGCAGCTCATTTCGCCCATGGGCTGTGCAGGCCGTGCTATGATATGGTACGGTGCGATGCAGTGCGGTAAGGTACGGTATAGTGTGCTGTGGTATGGTGTACTGCTGATGATGATCCAATGCAATGCATTGCCATTGGATGGTTGCAGTTTGCGCATGGTGTGTGTTGTGGGCTGTCCTGTGGTATGTATCCACCTGTTTTGAGAATCCTCAAAAGTGAATCCACGTGGTATATACCCACCACTTGGGGCGATTTTTTTAGTCCCAGGTCCCAGGTCCCAGGTCCCAGGTCCCCGCTCCTCCCCCCTCCGTGCCCCCTCTCTTCCCCACTTCCCCTCTCTTCCCTTCACTCCCTTCGCCCTCCCCTCTGTTTCCCCCAGCTGGCACGGACGAGCGGGGGGCTGGTAGGGGGAGCCAACCCCCCTGCATGGGGGCGAGGTGAGCGGGAGAAGCGCAAAGCAGAGCTGCGGAGGAGGAGGAGTCGACTCACCGTGTACAGCGTGTTTGGACAGGAGGAGCGGGAGGAGGGGGAGGGGGAGGGGGAAGAGGAGGAGTGGGGAGTTGGAAGGGAAGTTATGGCTGTTGGGCAGAAGGGGAAGGGCGGAGGATCAGCGGTGGCGACAGGGAAGGGGGTGGTTGCGGCGAAAGGAGGAGGGAAGGGAGGGAAGGTGGGGAAGGATGGGGTGTCGAAACGTGAGAGAGCGAGGCAGAGGATTGAGAAGGTGAGCGCGTATTATCGCTCCACAAGTTCAGGAAATATCGGGCGAGAGAGAGCGAGGCAGGGTACATAGCTGCTTGTTTTCAGAATCTACGCCCTAAATTTCTACGTGTCTTCTGATTGTTCCTGAGATCAAGTGAACAGTTAGTGTCATCGTTCGTACCACGCTCCATCCTTTTTCATCCGTCTTCACCCCTCAACCCTCTCCATCCCACTTGACTGACAGGATCTAGATGCAGCTTTGCACCGAGCTGAAATTGCTCCTTTTGTAAACTGAACGTTTGCCTTGAGCCACTTTTGAGATTTCTCAAAAATCCTTTCCCACCCCATCTCTTCCCTCCCCACCCGACAGGATCTAGACGCAGCTTTGCACCGAGCTGAAATCGCTCCCCTCGTGGTCCACACCCTTCCAGACTCCCTAGGACCTGCCGAACCGGATACCCTAGGCTCGGCCAGGCGTGACGGTCTAGGTTTGGCAGGCATAGATCCGAGCCTGGTTGATGACCCCGATCCAAATTGCTTGGCTGGGGGAGAGGGTGGGATGGGCGGCGGAGGGAGGTTCGGGGGAAGCGTTGGAGAGATTGGGGAGGAGGAGCAGGAGGGGGTGGAAGATGAAGAGGAGGATGAGGAGGAGGAGGAAGAGGAAGAAGAGGAAGATACTTTGTCGGATATAGAGGATCACGAGGTAACGTCTCATTGGTCTATTTTGGTTTAAAGTCCACTCAAAACACAAAAGAGGAGGAGGAAGATACTTTGTCGGATCTTGAAGATCATGAAGTATGAAGCTAAAAACCCTGATATGGACGGAGATGAACAAGGAGTATCGGGAGGAGCTGGAGCAGAAGCGACTTTCTTCATGTGCTGGAGCACAAAAGATTTACCCCAGCCTCCTCTCTTCCCCCTCCGCACTGCAGGTGGATGGATACCTATTGGGCGAAGAAGTGAAGTTGAAGACGCTCATATGGACGGAGATGAACAAAGAGTATTTGGAGGAGTTGGAGCAGATATGATCTACCTCACCCCCCTCTCCGTCTCCCATCCCACTACAGGTAGATGGGTACTTACTAGGCGAAGGGGAGGTGAAGCTGAAAACCCTGATTTGGACTGAAATGAACAAGGAGTATTTAGAGGAGTTGGAGCAAAAGGTGTCTTTTGAGTCGACCCAAAACTCACCTTGGCAGAGATGAGCAAGGAGTATCTGGAGGCGCTGCAGCAGAAGGCATATACCCCTCCGCCCACCCTCTCTCTTCCCCCATGCAGGTGGACGGATACCTACTAGGAGAGGAAGAAGTAAAGCTGAAGACCTTGATATGGACGGAGATGAACAAGGAGTATCTGGAGGAGTTGGAGCAGAAGCAGGCGGCGCAGCGGGCAGCAGAGGACCAGGTGGCGGCAGTGGCAGTGGCAGCAGCTGCAGGAAAGATTCATTTCCCCCCTTGCGCCCTCTCCCACTCCACTACAGGTGGACGGGTACTTGCTTGGCGAGGAGGAAGTAAAGCTGAAAACCCTAATTTGGATGGAGATGAATAAGGATAACCTGGAAGAGCTGCAGCAGAAAGATTTACCCCAGCCAGACTCCTCTCTTGCCGCCTTCTTACTGCAGGTGGATGGGTATTTGCTAGGAGAGGAGGAGGTGAAGCTGAAAACCCTAATTTGGACGGAGATGAACAAGGAATATTTAGAAGAGTTGGAGCAGAAGCAGGCGGCGCAGCGGGCGGCAGAGGACCAGGTGGCTGCAGTGGCGGCGGCAGCTGCTGCAGCAGCCAGCAAGTGTGGCGCAGGGACTTCGGCCCGTGCTGCTGCTGCCGCTGCAGCTGCTGCTGCCGTGCTTCAGAAGGTGTGTCTCTGTGTGTTTTCCAGCGACATAGCAGTGCTGCGAGTGTTTTTTTGAGACGTCTCAGAAACACCCTCTCCACACATGCTGCTGTGCTGCAAAAGGTGTGTCTTGGTGTGTTTTCCAGCGACATTGCAGTGCTGCAATGCTTGAGATGGTGGTGGGGGAGCATCTCTCTCTAGTGTATAGGGTTAATGGCCAGCTGCTGCAGCGGCCAGCGAGTGCGGTGCCGGGACGTCGGCCCGTGCTGCTGCTGCCGCTGCAGCTGCTGCTGCTGCTGTGCTGCAAAAGGTGTGTCCTGCAGTGCGCTGGTGTGTTTTGCAACAATGCTGCCTTGCTACAGTGCTTCAATAGGTGTGTCCTGCTTCAGTGCTGTGCTGTGTTGCTGCAGCAGAAGGTTTGTCTTTGTGTGTTCTGGGGTTTCTTTGTGAGATTTTTTGAAAAGCAGAAGGTTTGTCTTCGTGTGTTCTGGGGTTTCCCTCTGCAGTAGTGTGTCATGGGGAGAATACCTGCCACAGTCAATCAGCATTAAGCTGTGAATACCTGCACGATCCCAATTGATTCATACTTATCACCTTTGTTTTTTTTTTTTCTTTCTTTCTTTTTTTTCTGTTTTTTTTTATTGGAACATTTGCAGGGCGGGCTTGACCGGAAGCGCAGGCGCAAGGACGAGGCAGCTCTGGGTCCGGCGCAGTCAGCAGCGGAAGCGGCCAAGAGGGTTCTCGACAAGAAGGTGGGCCGCTTTCCTCTTTCCTCCTTACTTTGTTTTTACTGCACCATCAAGGACAAGGCAGCATTGGGCCCTGCGCAGTCAGCAGCGGAAGCAGCAAAGAGGGTTCTCGACAAGAAGGTGGGTCTCCTTATTCTTTCTTCCTTCCTGTTTCTCTACTGCACAGTCTATAGCTCTTTTCCTCCTCCTCCTCCTCCTCCTCCTCCTCCTCCTCCTCCTCCTCCTCCTCCTCCTCCTCCTCCTCCTCCTCCTCCTCCTCCTCCTCCTCCTCCTCCTCCGCCTCCTGTCCTCTTTGATAATGCTGCTGCTGCTGCTGCTTCTGCTGCTTCGATCTCCCCATCTCAACCATTGATCCCTTCTTCCTTCCCACTCCTTCCCACGCCTTTCCACTTTCCTTTCATTCCTCCCACTCCCCTCCCACCGCACAGAGCTCAGCGCACGTCAACATGGAGGCACTCGGACTGCTATTCTCCGATGGTGGCGCTGCTGCCGCCGCTGCTGCTTCAGTGTCCCCGTCCGCCCAATCAATTCCTTCTATCTCCCACTCCCCTCAACCCCCTTCCCTTCCCTCCCACCGCACAGAGCTCAGCGCATGTGAACATGGAGGCACTCGGACAGCTGTTCTCCGATGGTGGTGACACTGCAACTGCTACTGCTGCTGCTGCTGGGGCTGGAGCTGCGGCTGATGCTGCACCTGGGCAGGGCCGGCCCAAGAAGCAGCAGCACGTGCGGTGGGCTGATGAGGTTGCCGGTGCTGCTGCTGGTGGTGGTGGTGTTGGCGGTGCTGCTGGTTCTGCTGCTGTTGCTGGAGCAGCGGCAGCAGGGGTAAAGGAAGGGCCGCGAGCAGGGGGGTATGGTGGAGCAGAAGCAGGGGGGCATGATCCTGAAGGGGCAGAAGCAGGCTTGGCAGGAGATGAAACGTGGGGAGGGGATGGTGCGCTGGGTGGGTATGGTGATGAGTCAGCTTTGTACGGTGCTGACTCAGCAGCAGGACATGGGGAAGGAGACATGGGAGTGGAGCATGATGAGAATTCGGAGCACAGGGGAGCGGATGGGGAGGAGGGTAATATGGGTGATGCTGCTGGGTCGCATGGGGTGGAAGAAGGGGAAGGTGATGTTGGTGATGAGGATGCAGCAGAGGGGCATGCTGCTGATGGGGATGAAACGGAATACCATGATGTGAACGGGGTGCAGTACCATGTGGAAGAGAATGAGGAGCACTATAACGAGGATGGGATAGGAGAGGCAGTGTGGGGAGGTGGGGGAGCGGATCAACTGTACGGCGCAGATGGCATTGATCCCGATGACCAATACATGTTCTACTGAGCATGATTTGTTTTTGTAAGAAAGCTCACATCATATTATCTTCTACAATAGCAACTTCTAACTAGTTTTGGGAATAAACGTAAATGATATGTTGGTGGTCGGGTGCATAGTGTAGCCTTCCCGTTATCGAATCGCTTTATGCAGCTTGGTTCCAAACCCTTCGGGATGTTGCCAAATCGTGCCATCTCGTCCAATCGTGGTCGAGCGCATGTTTGAGGTAGGTAGGCGCTCGGCCTGACCTCTGCCTCAGCGCTATTCAGCGCCCTGTTTCACGAATGGTTGCTACGAATTTCGTAAAGCAATAAAAATTTATTCATTATTGCTTTATGACATGGAACTCTCTCAATGGCCGTAAGGCAAAATGCTTGAAAGTAGTTATAGTACATATCAAACCAGAGTCTAAGAGAGTGCAGTAGTTATTAAAAAAGGCCTCCTTCAAAAGATTGTTCCCACCCAACGCCTCACATAGTGAGGTAGGCAGCATACCTACACCCATTTGTGTAAACACTCGAGATGTAACAGCAACAATGCATGTATGATAGGTGCGCATAAGCTTCAATGCTGCTGAAGCAAATAGCGTACCTGTATAGAAGCCTCGGGGGCATGTCACCGTCTCAAGAGTATAAATGTATACTGTAGTATGATGACCACTTTTTGGTCACATGACTGGAGTGTAGAACCCGCTTCACTGCAGCTGAAACTTTTAGGTCCCACTTGAGTGTAGTGTAGTGGAAACTCTCTTGTGCCAGTCATTCTCATTCTCGTATGCTCCGCCTGTGAAGCTTTGAGTCCATTTTCAAATCCCACGCTCGCCGGGCATTGGCCAAGCTCCTCCGCAGCTTCGCCCAATGGCTCATGCCAACCAATCAGCTGCTGCCGACCAATCAGCTGCTGCCACCTCTACCAGAGCCACGTCACCACCACAGCTGCCATGCGTCATTGTTGGAGGCATCTCAACACACCACACCCGCCGGCGCTGCTGCCACTGACTCTGCTTCTTTCCCCATCTACCCCCACCCCCCACATGCAGCCTTTGCACCCAAAACTCCTACCCGCACTCACAAGTCCTCCCTACCTCCCCAACCTACTCTCGGCCTCCCCACACAAGCCCTACCCACACACCCTGTGCAAAAAACCCTCCCCAAACTCTCCCACCCTTTTCCCCCCCCCACTCATCCCCCACTCACCCCCCACTCATTCCTCCACTCACCCCCATCTCCCTGACAGCTGGCTTCCAGGCTGGCTCTATGCCTCAGTTTCAACTAAACCAGTATAAGCACAGTTCCCATATGCGCACACCTTGACACAGCCGCCACAGCTGCTGCAGGTGCAAAAGACTTCAATGCCAAATCCTTAAGGCTGCTGCACACAATCCCCATTCTCTCCACTAATTCTATTCACTCCCCCCCATCCGCCATTCTCTCCCTTCTCTCCCTTCCACCCCTTCAGTCACCCTCAAATCTGCCTTCCACCCCCGTCTTTCCCCGCACCGCACCTCCCGAAACAACACATCTCCGCGGAACTCCCCCAATGCCTCTCCTCCACCCTTCCCCGCCACTTCTTCCCCCAACTCCCCCCACACCTCCGCCCACCCCTAGCCCGTTCCCCGATCGGACACCCTTCCCCGCCACCTCCGATCTGCAGCAGCAAGGAGGATCCTGTAGCAGAGCTAAGAAGGATCTAATAGCAGAGCTAAGGAGGATCTTGTAGCAGAGCTAAGGAGGATCTTGTAGCAGAGCTAAGGAGCATTGAACGGCACAAACCCCATGGGAGAGAGGACGGCTGTAGCACCAACAGCTGTAGCACCAATGGCTGTAGCACCAGCAGGGAGAACGGCCGTAGCTGCGTGCGTGGATGGAGCAGATGAGCTGGCAGCCACGTCAGCAGGGGCAGCAGGAAACACAGTGGCGGTTGTAGCAGCAGCACTAGTATTAGCTGTAGCAGCAGTGACAGTAGCGGTAGTGGCTGTAGCGGGAGCAGTGGTGATTGAAGCTTGAGGAGGAGGTGGATGGTATGGGGAAACCGGGCTGGGAATGAGAGATGGGAACGGGGCAAGACCCAAAGAGCCAGGATACTGCTGCAGGTGCATTCCAGGGTGTGTTTGGTGCGCTCCAAGGTGCGAACCAGGGTGCATTCCCAGTTGCATCCCAGGGTGCGTTCCAGGTTGCATCGCAGGGTGCGTTCCAGGTTGCATCCCGGGGTGCATTCCAGGGTATGCAAACGGGGGCATGAGAGGATGAGCGAAGAAAGCTCCAGGAAGCTGCGACAGAGAGCCTCCCATCTGGGCTGGAAAGGCTTCAACTTGCAACGGATTCGCAGCAGCACCAGCACCAGCAGCAGAAGCAGCAGCAGCTGTAGCAGCAGCTGTAGCTGTGCCAGCAGCTGTAGCGGCAAGTGCTGCTGCTTGTGAAGCTGTTGCAGCTGTAGCCTGGGGGGACGAGCGGCAAGGAGGAGCGTTTTCAGCCGGTGTTACTTCTACATGAGCGTAGGAGAGGGAGGAGGAGGCAGTGGTGGGTTTGGAGTCTCGGGTAGTGCACGAGGTGCGCACAGGTGGGGGCTGTTGCTGTTCCTGTATATGTTGCTGCTGCTGACTCGACTGTTGTTGCTGCTGCTGACTCGACTGTTGCTGCTGCTGCTGTCCCCGTTGCTCTTGCTGTTGCTGTTGCTGCTGTTGCTCCTGGTTCTGCTTCCCTGCGCTCTTCTTCTGCTTCTGCCTGGCCTGCTTCTGACCAGCCTTCCTCTCTTTTCGGACCCTTTCCACGCCCGCTTCTTGCTCCTCACACCACACCCGATGGGCCTCCCTTGCTTGCTGCTGGTGTCGCTGCATCTGCCAGAAATGCTCCCTGCTCTGCTGCTGCTGCGCTTCCTCCTGCTGCTGCTGCTGTTGCTGCTGGTGTCGCTGCAGCAGCCAGAGGTTTTCCCTGTGCTGCTGCGCCTCCTCCTCCTGCTGCTGTTGCTGTTGCTGCTGCTGCTGCTGCTGCTGCTGTTGTTGCTGTTGCTGTTGCTGCAGCATCATCTGCTGCTGCTCCTGCTGTTGCTGTTGCTGCTGCTGCTGCTGCTGTTGCTGCAGCAGCAACTGTTGCCCCTGCTGCAATCGCAGCTGCACCTGCTGCTCCTGCTCCTGCTGCATTTGCTGCTGCTGCTGCTGTGCCATCCAGACGTCACCACTTACCTCTGAACGCACATTAGGGTCCTGTGGGGAAAGCGCGTACACCCTTGCCCCACTTGCAGCAGCAGCTGCATTATTAGCGACAGCAGCAGCAACAGAAGCAGCGGCAGCAGCCACAGCAGCACAAGCACCATCCCCTCTCCCCGCTCTCCCCATCCTCCCGACACAAGCAGCAGCCCTGCCCCTCTTAGCATTACCACGACTAGCTGGCTTCGAATTGCCTGCCATCGCCCCTGCCTGCACTCCCACTGCTCCTCCTGCCCTTGCCCCTGCCTCTGCCCTTTCCCCTGCCCCTGCCCCTGCCCCTACCCTTTCCCCACCCCTTCCCCCTCTCCCTGCACTTCCAGCAGCAGCAGCAGCGGCTGCAGCAGTAGCAGCAGCCACAGCAGCAGCGGTGGCGGGAGCAACGGGGGGCGGAATGGGGTTGGCGGCGGAGAGGAGTTGGCAGAGGGGGCGGGAGCGCATGTGGTTGACGAGGTTGCACTTGAAGGCAAACTGCATGCCGCAGCGACACACCAGCATCTGCCCACACATCTTGCCGTGGTCCCTCAAATCTGCCTGGGGTGGGGAGAGGGGAAGGGAGGGAGAGAGGGAAAGAGGACAAAACATGAAGCAGCAGCGGGTGCAACAGAGCATGGCACACCAGCATCTGCCCACACATCTTCCCGTGGTCCCTCAAATCCGCCTGGGGGGAGGAACGAGGGAGAGGGAGGGGGGGGAAGGGAAGGGGCGGAAGAGAAGGATGGAGGGAGGACACTCAGAGCGGAAACAGCGACACACCGACGTCTGCCCACACATCTTCCCGTGGTCCCTCAAATCCGCCTGGAAGGGGGCAGGGGAAGCGGGGAGGGGGAAACAGGGGGGGGGGAGGAGGGGGGTGAACGGGAGAGGGAGGGAGAGGGGAGAAAAAAAAGGGGAAAAAAAGAGATGAAGCAGCAGTGGGGCGCAGCGGAGCATGGCAATGCAGCAGAACAGCAAAGGGTTGAGAAGCGTGAGAGGGGTGAGGGGGGAGAGAGGGCCTTACCTTAACGAAAAATCGCTTGCTGCACTTGCCGCAATCAAGCAGCTTCTCCCCCTGCTGGTGCTTCCTTCCAAAATGCCGCCTCAGCTCATACAACCCCACAAACGGCACTGAGAAAGGGGGGCGGCTTACCTCAAAAGAGGGCCGTTTGCTGCACTTGCCGTGTGCGAGAGCGATGGAAGAAAGAGGTGAGGGAAGCAGGGTGGTGGTGGGGGAGGGAAGATGACAGAGAAGGGTGATGGGAAAGGCCTTACCTCAACGAAAAACCGTTTGTTGCACTTGCTGCACACAAACGGCTTCTCCCCCTGCTGGTGCTTCCTCCCAAAATGCCGCCTCAGCTCATACAACCCCACAAACGTCTTCCCGCACTCCGGGCAGCGCGACGGAATCTTTTTATTCTGCCCGGCCTTGCTGCCCCCGTGCCGCGGACCCAACGCATCCTCACACGCCGCCTGAAACACCGAGTCGGGCAGATCGTGCGTTCGCAGATGCATTTTCAGCGTCTGCCAGTTTTTGAAAGTCTTCCCGCAATCGCTGACGTGGCACAGGAACGGGCGGCGGTTGTGGATAAGGTCTAGCGAAACAATCTCTGCTTGCCTGGCAGTAGGGGTGTGTGCTGACTTGGCACTACCAGTGCTGATATCTGCTTGTCTGGCAGTGCTGGTATGCGCTGCTGGTGTGCAATCAGGAGTGGCAGAGGGGATTTGCGCTAGGGATTTCCCCTCTGCCAGTGGTTTGCCCCTGGCAGTAGCGGTAGGGACATGCGCTGGCGTGCCATTAGCCGTAGCAATATCTGCTTCCTCCGAGATCAAACGGCCTGTTCCTTGCACCACAGCCAGTCCAGAATGTGCTGCTGGTATGCCTGCTGTTACTGAAGCGCCTGAGGGGCCAAGCGAGCCTGAGGCACTAGCGTCTGTGACTCCTTGTTCTGGGGGAAACTGAGTACCTGCAGTAGTCTCAGGAGGCATAGCGATTGGTGCAGCCTCAGCAGCAACACCGGCGCCACCTGAATCCCCAGCGCCTGAATTGCCAGCAACCAAGGCCCCGTTCAAAAGAACCAAAGCAGCAGCATCAGAAGCAGCGGAAGTACCAGCAACGGTACCACCGGCGCCAGCACCAGCGTCAGTACCAGCACCGCCACCTGAAACCCCGGCGCCTGAACTTCCAGCAACCAAGGGCCCATTCGGAAGAACCAAAGCAGCTTCTGAAGGCTGGTCCACTGCTCCAGAACCCACCATCTCTGCACCCTGCGCAGCAGCATCTGCTGCTGCAACTGCAACGCTATCAGCAGCAGCCACATCTGCATCAACAGCTGTAGCAGCAGCAGTCAGAGCAGCACCCGCATCGACAGCTGTAGCAGCAGCAGTCAGAGCAGCACCCGCATCGACAGCTGTAGCAGCAGCAGTCAGAGCAGCACCCGCATCGACAGCTGTAGCAGCAGCAGTCAGAGCAGCACCCGCATCGACAGCTGTAGCAAAGCACAAACTAGTTTCTCCAGCAACGTCCATCGCAACAGCAGCTGTAGCAGCAGTCAGAGGGGCGGCTGTAGCAGCAGTCAGAGGGGCGGCTGTAGCAGCAGTCAGAGGGGCGGCTGTAGCAGCAGTGGCATCACCTGCACCAGGTACTGTTGTTGCAGGCTCAGCGGGGGCAGCGGGAGCAGCGTGGGTATGAGTTGACTCAAAAGCAGCAGCATTTGTAACAGACGTTGCTTTTGCAACCGCGTCTGCTACAACCACCTCCGCTACAGCCCCATCCATTGTAACTCCATATGAGACAACTGCACCTACTACAAGCCCATCTGCTACAAGTCCATCTGCTACCACCGCATTCACTACATCCCCATCCGTTACCAGCACCTCCGCTACAGCCCCATCTGCTATATCCGCGACCGCTACAGCTTCCTCCGCTACAACACCGTCTGCTACAACTCCATCCGTTACAACCGCGTCTGCTACAGCCACGTTTGCTACAACCGCATCTGCTACAACCGCGTCTGCTACAGCCCCATCCGCTACAACCCCAACTGCCACAGCCTCATTCGCTACACCCCCGTTCACTAGAACAGAATTCGTTACAGTTGTATCCGCTACAACCGCGTCTGCTACAGTCCCATCCGCTACAACCCCAACTGCCACAGCCTCATTCGCTACACCCCCGTTCACTAGAACACAACCCGCTACAGCCGCATCCGCTACAACCGCGTCTGCTACAACCGAATCTGGTGCAGCAGTGACAATTCCTGGAATGCCTGGCGGTTGCTCCGTCGCTTTCCCGGCTGGCGACAAGGCGGACGGCAGCGCGGACGGCAGTGCGGGCGGCAGCGGCAGGTCCAAGGGCGGCAGGTCGACAGCAGCAACGTCAGGGAGAGACGGCACTGGCAGAACCGAGGGGTCTCGCAGAGAAGGAGGGCTAAGTAGCGTGGGAGGGTCAAGCAGAGTCGGGACGTCAAGAAGTGTGGCATCGGGTAGCGGCGGAGGCACAAGGGGGACGTCCTGTGTCATAGGCGGCTCAGGGATGGAAACAGGCTCAGGGATGGAAACAGGCTCAGGGGGGTCAGGTAGAATGAGAGAGTCTAGCAGAGTGGGAGCGTCAGGCGGTAGGGAGGGGCGGGGAAAGGTGGCAGGGGCTGAGAGAACGGGCGAATCAGGAGCACAAGCAGCAGCAGCAGACTCGACCGCATCAACGGTGGAAGAAGCGCCAACAGCAGTGTTAGCAGCAGCAGCACCAGCAGGAGCACCAGCAGCAGACTCAACCGCACCAGCAGAACTAACAGCACCAGCAGCATCAGCGCCGTCAGCAACGGCCGCAGCACTCTCCCTTCTCGCTCGCTTCTGACAAGGAACCGAGGTGAGACCAGCCTCTCTCCCCTCCTCCCCCAATCCTCGTTTCACACTCTCCGTGTTCTCTGGCCTGTTGGGACAAATGGTACTCTCTGGAATGCTGCTGGGCGGCAAGTCTTTGGGCGGCAAAGTGTCCCCTGGATGGCTGTTGGGCGGCACACTGCTGGGCGGCAGTGTGAGGGGATGGGGGAGGGAGCCCGCGGAAGCAGCAGTGCGGAGGGCGGAAGACCCATCCGCAGCTACTGGCGCGGGGGAGGGCGGGGGAAGGGCAGGCGCGGAAGACAGAAACGCAGGCGCGGACAGGCACGCGGGGTGGAGAGGCTGGGCGGAGGCGAATTGAGCGGAGGGAGTAGATGGCGCGGACGCGGGCGCGGGAGGGCACGAGAGGGGATATGCGGCCGGGAATGGAGGGTCGCGCGCAGGCTGGGCGGAGGAAGGTGTTGCGGGGGGGGATGCTAGCGGAGGGGCTGGGGACGCGCGAGACGGCGCGCGGGCGCAAGGCCCTCGCGGAGACGCGGAAGCGGCGGAGCGGTGAAGCGGGGGCAAACGGGGGAGAGCAGCAGTGGGGGACGAAGCAGGGGAGGCAGTAAGCGGGGAACGTTCCGCGAAGCCGAGATCAAGAGGTACTGAAGTTTCTGGCACGCGAGGGAGGGACGGCAGAGACGCGGAGAGGCGCATCTGCGGAGGGGGGCGCGTTGGGGAGAGAGGTGGGGGTGATATAGAACATTCCAACCCAGGCCCTACTGCTGTTGCCGCTGCTGCTGCTGCTGCTGCTGCTGCCGCTGCTGTTGCTGCTGCTGTTGGGCGAACTGACGATACCGAGGCTGATCTTATCGCGGATGCCTGAGCCGCTGAAACAGAATGACCGCTCCTTACACCGCCGTCAGTAACGCTGGGATCAGTGGCCGAGGGGGGTAATACAGCTATAGATGGCGTCGCAGACGCAGCAGACGACACAACGACGGGGGTGCGCGACTCAAACGAGGCGCCGTGCGACGCGCGCGACGTCGCGTCCGGCGACCAGCGGCCAAAGCGACGTCGCATGACCAGATCCAGCTGTCGCATCTGCTCGTGGGATCGCACACGTCGCATGCTATGCATCGGCAGCTGCTGCGGGGACTGCGGTTGCGACTGTGGCTGCTGCAGATACCACCGCGGTTGCTGTCGCTGCTGCCCCTGCCCCTGCCCCTGCGCCTGCGCCTGCGTCTGCGCCTGCCCCTGCTCTTGCCCAGCAGTCCATCCCCACACCTGCGCCTGTCCGCCCGCCTCCCGTTGTCCCCATCCCTGTGCCTCCGCCTGCCCGTGCGCCTGCGCCTGCGCCTGCACCTGCGCCTGCCTCTCGGCTTGCCCCTGCGCATGCCCCTGCACCTGGGCTTGCCCCTGCGCATGCCCCTGCGCTTGCGCCTGCCCCTGCGCCTGCCCCTGCGACTGCCCCTGCCCCTGCGCCTGCGCCAGACTCTGCTGATCAGTGGGAGACGACGAGATAATCGACTTGAGCGTGCTCACGAGGTTCGGGTGCATCACCGGCATAACCGGCCGCAGAACCGGCGACATAATCGGCGACATAGCCGGCTGCATAGCCGGCGAGATGACCGGCTGCATAACCGGCGACATAACCGGCTGCATAGCCGGCGCGAGGGGCGCATGCGGTAGCTGCAGCGGCGCCGGCATCAGCAGCGGCGACATGCAGACCTGAACCGTGGAGAGGTTTGGCGGAGCGGAGGGGACTGCGCATGCGGGCAGGGGAGCGGGGGGAACTGCGCCTGCCGGCATCTCCGCTCCGGAAACCAGGGGGCTTCTGGGAAACCCCGCGGGGGGAATCGACCCGGCAGGCATCGGCGGAGGAAACGACCAAGTTGCGCCAACTGTTCCGCCCGCGTCTGCGCTGGCTGCAGCGGGAACTCTCCTTCCCCCTTCTCCCATTCGCACATACGACGACGGCGGAACAGGAGGCAGTGCCGCGTGAGGGAGGATGAGCGACGGGATTGCGACGGAATTCGTCGCCATGGCGTCGCCAGGGCCTGGCGCTGCGACTGAAAGAACACCGTAAGCCGCTGACGGAAGAAGGCGGTGCGTGTGAGGCTCTTGACCAAACACTGGAGCTTCTGGGGCTGCTACAGCTGCTGCAGGAGCCGTGGCGTCGGCTGTAGCGTCGGATGTAGCGGCGGTCGTAGCGTCGGTTGGTACGTCGGCTGTAGCAACAGCCGTGGACCATTGCTGAGACGGCACGCGAGGCAGGGGCGCGGGTGACACTGCAACGATGCCTGGAGGGGGAGGACGAGGAGGAGATGAGGGCGAATCACCAAGAGGCGCGAGAGATGGAACCCTAATCGGAGATGGATAAGGCGAAGCTCCAGCAGCGACTGACGCTGCTACACCGGGAACACCAACAGACGATGGGCTATCAACCGTGCAGTTTATAACGGGTACAGATGTATGTACGGGTTCACCAGCTTTAGGTCGCTTCGCGAGTTGCGAAGTATCGGTGGTAACACAGCGACGGGTAACAGGACTTGCTGGCGACAGCGAGGGAGTATCAGGGGTACTACATGGTACTGCAGCTGCTCGCATCGTGTGCTTTTAGTGGAGCGGGTACGAAAGCTAGGGAGCGCGACTCGATGTTGAAAGGTGAGTTAGGAGCGACAGCGGGAGATGCGTGCAAGAAACACCAGATCCAAAACATTGCGGAAATCCTTCGCTTCAAGCAAATGCCAAGAAATCTGAAATAAAACCAGCAAGACAGATTTGCTCAGCACGAGACTGCCTTCCGCCTTCGAAATACTGTACAAAACCTACACCTCTCCTACGCGCCTCTGCTGCTGATTGCAGGTCGAAGCACCAGTCACAAGTCTCTCTCCCTTCCCCCGCCACTTGTGGAAGTTACGAACGGACCGACCTCGATGTTGGTCATCTTTTGTGGTGGAGAGCGGAAGCCATAGCCGGAAAAAGTGCACGGGAAAGTGCGAAATAATGAAACCCTACTGGCTGCTGGAAGAGTTGACAGAAGACAGACTGCAGGTCGAGCGTTCCCAACCACTTATTATTCGCCTGTGCGAAATTCCCAACTAATCATCCGTTACAGGGTCCCTCGTTGGTCACAGGAATCTTCTCGTTGAATCATCCTTCGCCAATTCGCGAGGGCTTCTTGATTGTCGATCTTTCGCTGTAGTCCAGTCGAGCCAGATCTTGGGGGAGACGAAAGGTGGAGAGGCATTAGTCGGAGGAAGTTCCGAAGACGAAGGTTTTGTTACAAGCACGGTGATTTCGAATGTTCGAATCGCCCGAGGGGAAGGTGGACTCCCCAGATGCAAAATGACAACCGACGGCAAACGGTTCACTGTATCGAAAATGTTTCATCGTGAAGCTATAAACACCAGCTGCTGTAGCGCCAACAATATATCACAATATTGTCCATGTACCACCAACTAGCTGGCTCCTGCTAACGCAACCCATGTAACATAGCTTAATGCATTTGGTGAGGCATCATAAGTTGCAACAAATGGCAGAATTGCACTTTCCACAGGGTGTTGCATGTGGATGGGCTATGTTGTGGATGGGAGAGTGCCCGGGAGAATGCTCCCAGAGTGCCTTCACAGCTGAAACTACCGTATTCTCCCGGATATAAGACCCCCCGGAATACAGGACACTCGGGTCTGTAATACGGGGGTGGGTCTTTTATTTTGGCAGGTTTCCACTATACCCCTCTCTAGAGGGGTAAACATTACAAGACCCTCCCCCAGACGTATACACTACTGTTTTTCTGATATTTGATGCATTTTCATGTGTCTTCTAAAGAGTGGTTAGCAACGGAATGCTCGAGACTAGAAAGTGTGAGAGTACAAATATGCAACCCTAACAACTGTACTCCCTATTGTGCTACTCACTGTAGCCTACAAGCATAGAATTACATTTGACACACCCCCATAGGCTAAGTGAGGGGCATCAAAGCAAGCAAGGTGAACAAACGGTCACAAGACCAGTCAAAGCAAGAAACAAGGCAAGCTCAGGGTGGATCTCAAGGACACCACACAAATTCCGAGCACAAGCAAGCGGCCACAAGGCCAGTTCAAGAGTTCACTAGGATATAAACAGGAAGCACAACAAGCAGAGCAAACAACAAGACTACAGCAACCGAGGGCCTACCTCAACAAGCCCCAACTGCACACAGAACCTGTGGTGATCACCAGGCGCCAAGGCCTTGGTGAAGACGTCTGCAGTGTTGGCCTCTGAGGCCACAAAGTCCAGGCGTGCCTGGCCGCGTCGCTGCAGCTCTCGCAGGAGGAAGTACCTCACGTCAATATGCTTCACTCTGCTCTCCAGTCGAGGCTCTCGACACAGGAGGTACATGGCCTTGTTATTAGCGTACAAGGTCGGTGCAGAGCGAGGCCGCTCACCAAGGTCGGCGAGCAAGAAGGTCAACCAGCGAAGCTCCTGTGCCGCCATGGCACCAGCGTAGATCTCTGCCTCTGCACTGGAAGTAGCCACAGACGACGACCGAGTAGACCTCCACGACACAGCACCAGCTCCCAGTATGAAGCAGTAACCCTGGGTCGAGCGCTGAGTCTCCACGTCGTCAGCGTAGGAAGAGTCGCAGTGCCCAGTCAACGCCACTGGCTGAGTCCCTCCAAGCACAAGCCCCATGCCTGATGTAGTCGCCAGGTACTTCGCCACCCTCACAGCAGCTGTCCAGTGGACAGGACGGTGTCTCCCAGTCGCAACAAAGCGAGAGAGGATGCTGAGGGGAAAGGCGAGGTCCGGCCGAGTACAAGTCATCAGGTACATGAGGCAGCCCACAAGCTCTGCGTAGGGACCACTGGGCTCAAACGGCTCGTCAGGAAAGGGGCCAGTGAGCCGGTGGTCAACAGCAAGAGGAGTGGGCTGTGTGGTGGAGAACTGGAAGTCGAACCGCCGAAGGACCTGCTGCACCATGTGTGACTGCGTCAGTGTGATGGTGCGAACGGCTCTGACCCTGGTGATCTGCAGGCCAAGTTAGCGCTGCAGCTCACCCAGGTCAGTGCACTTGTGTCTCTTCTGCAGTTCGGACTTCACCTGAACCAGGGCTGCCCTATCTGCGGTTGCAAACACCAAGTCGTCGACGTAGACAAGGATAAAGAAAGGAGTAGAACCCGCTCGAACAAACAGCGACGGGTCGGCGGAGGACGGGCTGAACCCAAGGTCACGAAGCGTGGAGCGAAGAGTGTCGTGCCACTCACGGGGCGACTGGCGGAGACCGTAGACTGGTCGCCTCAAGTTCCACTGGGTCCCAGGTGGGAAGGTGTCAGTGAAGCCAGGAGGACGGCGCAGCCAGATCTCCTCGTGCAGTCGGCCCTGGAGGAACGCAGTGGAGAAGTCGAGGGAGTGCAGCTCGTAGTCTCGCTGCGCTGCTATGTGGAGTAGTACCCGAAGAGTAGTCATCTTCGGGGTCGGGGCGAAGGTCTGGAAGAAGTCAACTCCCTCACGCTGACTGAAGCCCCTAGCCACGTAGCGCGCCTTGAACACCGGCGGTGCTCCAGGCGGCCGCTTCACCTTGAAGAGCCACATGCCATCGACTACGTTCGCCCTGGGAGGGGGAACTGCGTCGATATAGGTGCCTGTGGATCTCCAAGACGCCAACTCTGAGTCCATAGCCGCTTTCCACTGAGAGGCCCACGCCCCTGACACTGCCTCGCGGTAAGTGCGAGGAGTCGGTATGTCAAGGGCGTCAGGGTCTCCCTCAGGGGAGAGCAGCATGGCACACACAGAGGGAGAAGCGGCTGCCCAGTACTCCAGCTCAGACTCTCTGTCCTCTAGGACGTCACAGCCAAGGGCAAACTCACCCCCGACGGACAGAGGACGGTAGGGAGGAGCTGGCACCACACGGGTGGCGTAGTCAAGGCGGCTGGCGGCAGCAAACTCAGCGACAACGGCAGTGAGAGCCGAGACAGACGACGGAGGGAAACGAGAGTCGGTGACAAGAGTGGCGAGGACACGTGCGGCAACAGGACGAACAGCGCGGTAGTAGTCAGAGATAGGAGTGGGGAGGGCTGTGAGAGAGGACGGAGGAGGAGACGGGAGAACGGACTCAGGAGAAGGAGAACGACGACGAGACGAACAAAGGAGGGCAGTGTGGAGGTCAGTAACAGGGGACGAGTGACGAGCACGCGGAGGACAACGGGTGACCAAGTCGCGACGGACAGAAGGAGGAGGAGACAGAGGAGGAGGAGAAGACCAGACCGCCGGACGGTCGTCAGGAGGAGGCAACGGAGAAACAAACACAGGAGGAGACTGGGAGCGGACAGGAGGAGAGGAGGAAAGGCCAAGGGCCCGCAGGCCACTCACAGGTGGGAACAACTGCCGCTCCAGAGGAAGCTGCGGCGGTGGCTGCGGTTGCCGCTGATGCGGCTGCTGCTGCGGCGGCGGCGGCGGCGGCGGCGGCTGCTGCTGCTGCTGCTGCTGCTGCTGCTCCAGAAGGTCCAGCACCCGCAGCTCCTGCCGCTCCCGCTCCAACCGCTCCTGCTCCTCACGCTCACGCCGACGGGCAGCCTGGAGACGCGTGTCGTGGCGGTGGGGAGGCGGAGTGGACTCCGCAGTACCAGGGTCTCCAGCGACAGTCTCCTCAGACTCAGCACCCCCATATCCAGCACCTCCAGTGCCAGGACCTCCAACTCCAGCACCCCTAGAACTAGCACCGCCAGTGCCACCATCTCCAACTCCAGCACCCCCAGAACTAGCACCTCCAGTGCCAGCACCTCCAGCTCCAGCACCCCCAGAGCTAGCGCCACCTGCGCCAGCATCCCCAGCCCCAGCACCCCGTGACCCAGCACCCCCAGACCAAGCACCGCCAGCGGCTGCACCTCCAGCTCCAACACCAACCGAGTCCACAGGAACCTGTCGCGGAAGCGCCGAAGGCTGCTGAGGGGGCTGTGAGGAGGACTGCGGGGAGGGAGACGCTACCTGACGCGCGACCGAGGGTAGAGGGGTAGCGTGGGACACACCAGACGGGGCAAGACCAGGGGGGGCCGGGGGTA